CTTGCACAATAGGCTCTGGCTCTCAGTGGCACTCCCGGTAGCATCTCTCCCAGGTCCAGCACACTACTGCAAAGATAAGGTAGAGTCATTTAGCTAATCATCAGAAGGTGAGGTGATCAACTCACCTGGTGCCGCTCTCCCAAGCTTCCCCACACCTCTCTCCTGCAGCTGAGTGCAAACCACCTCCACACTGAGTGAATGTGTGTGAAAGGTGAATGTGGACATTGGTGTAAAAGTGCTTTGAGTGGTCGGAAGACTAGAAAGGCGCTATACAAGTACAGGTCCATTTACCATTTACCATTTTACACGTTGCTACGGAGTGATGTATGTATGTATGTATACTTCCAGTGAAGTGATATGAAATGTATTTAGTTTCCACATCAAATGATCAGTACTGAAAGTGTCAGTGGGATGTAGTGATTTTGTTACTTCTATGTATGCATTTTTTTAAATGTTTGGATTTTAGTTGAGATTTGCAGGCCTGTACATTCATGTGGGATGTGTAGGCAAGGGCTGTTAATGCATCTATGCATCTGTGTGTGCGTATGTGTGTGTGCATGTCTCAAGAGTGTGTGGCCTGTGGTCTCACTAACAGACACATTCCCAGTGTCAAATAGGCAGCGTGGACTCAGTGTCACCCCCAACAACCTGGCTGACCCCTGCATCCTCCTCACCAGCTCAGCACAGCACAGACATAACACACACACACACACAGATATTAGTAGAAGTTTAACATGTAATGCTGATTATTGTGTCTCTAATATATATTCTAATATACCTGTAGTGTTACTGTGCTTTTGTATCTTAACGGCACAAACATTTGTGGGTAGAGACAGTTTTGCAAGATCAGCTACTGATACCATGGCTGACGCCTTAAGCTCCACCATCAATGCATTCCTCTGTTGTGCCACAGAAGGACGATTGATGCTTTTTGCCTGTGACTCTACAATTTCAGTAGATCTTATTTTGGAGATATGAAGAAGTGTTTGCAGTTCACCCTGAAGCATATTCCAGAAGTCTTATATTCTTCAGTCTTTGTGCTTGAGCTGGCTTGTCGTAAGTTAATTTGAATGTATTTGTATGACATGGTGACACAAGTTGTGGGGTTTTTGTGTGCACTTTGCAGAGATCACTTATTATTACAGACATTTTTATTGTATTTTTGTATGTTCAGCTGCTATTTCTGCTCATGTCAACTACCCAGTTATTGTTAGTTTGGTATGTTATGTTATTTACAGGTGCCCAACCCTGATTGACTGCTCAGACACCAAATATACTGTCACTGTCAGACAGGAGTATCATTTCTTACGGTGCAAACGAAGAACTTTGCCTCTCTCAGGCTCTACAAATTAATTTTGCCACAAAAAAGGATCCTTACTATAACAAGACTCTAGGGATGTGGCTGTAGGAATGGCAGTGTTGGTTGGTTTTCGGCTGGTCCAGACCGAGACATCCCAAACTATTATAATGATACCAATGAAATTTTGTACAGACATTCTAAGTCTAACTAAATAACGGTATTTATTTCACAGAAAAATCAAGATTGCTATCCTGTGTGATGTGATGTTGAACCTTCGCTACAGCCTAATCCTATATTATTGCCATGTCATATTACAGTGAGCCTAAAATATACTGTAAAATATCCCTGCTTAATAAAAATTATCCACAATGCAATGCACTGTGCCTCCAAATCTACAGCGACATCTAAGAGTGTATACTGTATATCATATCGGAGAAATATCGCATGTTTTGGTATTGTATTGGTGTCGGCATATATGTTATCCAGTATGCGCAAATATGAAAAAGTTGACTGATACGTCACCAAACTCACTTCAAGATGCAGACAGCATGTCTCACATTTACACTGTGCAATTTTATTCTTGCTGAAACATGTTTTTTGAAATCAAGTATACAAAAATATTTTTGCAATTTTCACTTTCTCACAGAATTTTGTTATTATTATTTTATAGTTATTTTTTTTCATATTTTTTTTAATACAGTTACCCCCCCAAAATAGTTACAACCTTACTTCTGTTGGCACCCCTACTGATTTGAAATCAACAAACCAATCACATCCTTGGATTCATTTTTATCATGGAGGAAACTAGTTTGGAAGATGGAAACATTCAGCCGCTGGAAACATTCCATTACTTTGGTTTTACAAACAAAGCTGTATCTTAATCATTGTAGGTCTGAATTTTGGGGAGAAAGGCCGCAATTATTTAATTATTTTGTCGGTAGTAGTGTAAAAGTAATATAACTAGTTGTGTAACTAATTACTGTTAGCAGGGAGTGAAGTGGTAATTACTTTTGAAAAAAGAAAAGAATAATAAATACAATTTTTTGAGTAGGTGTGGCACCTTTTTGGCTTACCCAAATCAGAAAATATAATAGGTGAGAAGATGAACAAGTCAGGGGGAGAGATATGAGGCTGTTTTCTGTAGTTGACAGTTATATTTTAAATGTCACTTTTACAAAGAAAAGGAAATATGCATTGCACAGTTTATACCCTATCACATACATAAAAAATATTCTTTAATTTGATAAAGGAAATATAAAAGAAATATTCCAGAATTATTCCATAAAACACTGCTTCTGCTTCTGGAAATGTCAGAAGTCCACTACTTCTTATGCAATGGCTCTTAATATCAGTAAACCTTTTGCTGGTCGTAGGTTGAATCACTGTTGTGTTTAATCGGCAGGAAAATGTACATTCAAATGGACGTACAAATGTCAGATATTACTTGAGTGTAGGCGTTTAAATGAGGGCAAAAGCAGTGACAGTTAAGGAAATTTATGTCTTTTTCAGTGGGCTCAGACAGCAGGGGAAGTCAGGAGAAGTAGTCAGATGCACAAAGTGAAGGTGTCCTTGGTGACGGTTAGATTAGCCTGCTTCTCGCCACCGAGCCCAGACCACAGCCTGGGCTATCTTTAGCCGGACACCAAAGGGCAGCGGTGCTGTTTTATGGCCACATCCGGCCCAATGTGGACCGGGAACTAACTGTCGGGATGGGTGGGTTTGGTATGGCGAGCTGAGGGCTTAGTGAGGAAGGGAGGAGACTCTTCCCTTGCCCTTCACCCCAACTCCCTTCCCCCCCACCAGTGTATAAAAGCTTCAGCCTGGGGTCAAAATCACAAGCCAGAGAGGACTGAAATTTGGGGAGGAGGTGGGTGGTGGGGAGTAGAGAGAGAGAGAGAGAGAGAGAGAGAGAGAGAAGAGAGAGAGAGAGGAGAGAGAGATGAGAGAGAGAGAGAGAGAGAGAAGAGAGAGAGGAGAGATTGAGAAAAGAGAGGGGGAAGGGGAGAAAGGAGAAGAGACTGTTGAAGATAATGTCTACAAACCTCTCACTCAGCCTGTATTGTATAGTGCGTAACCAGATTATAGATATAGATAGTACTCTCATTGTTGAATGTCCTGTAGAGTTAATCTGTTTGCCGAAGTCAGAGTGAGAAGACTATAAAGGAACACTTTTGGTTCCAAAGAGCTTGGAAGGTAGCTTGGATTGGTTAAGTCTTTACCTCCAGGGACTCAGAGTTGCCCAAAGTATTTGATGTCTGGGAATGACTTTCTCTCGCCTCTGATACTATAATAACACCTCTTAATGATTACTAGTACAATACTACAAAAAGCTCTATTCAAAACTTGGTCTCCATCTGGAGTGTGTGGTCGCGATTGGCAGTTATCTCAATCTCACCATCTGCATTTTACTGAGGCCTCCTTTTTCTTGGTTTGGTTTGTGTTCGGCTGAGTAGTTGCGTTATCCCTGCACCTATATACATTTCCTCTGCTGGCATAGTTACCCAACCACTGTGCACCACAAAATGCACACAAGTACTTAGTCCCAATTTGATTGAATACACCCAAAAAAGAATGTTTTTCGGCATCACTGAAGCGGAGCTGGATGCGACCCGCTGCCTTGCGATCCTCCCTGGCTTTCAGCTCCTGATCATGTGGTTAGTAAAGCATGTCTTCCCCCCCCCCCCCCCCCCCCCCGTCCCCCTGTCCCCTCCCAGCCCGACCCCTCATCTCTACTGGAGTCACTTCACTGGTGCAAAGACCCCTGACTCCACTGCTGCAAATGACTCGCATTTTCCCCCTCTTTTTTCGTCATCCTTTATCCCTCTCTCGTTCACCTCGCTTCTGCCCCACACTAACCCCAGCCCCCCACCCCGCGCTTCACTCTCCGTCTCTCTAAGCCTAACTCTGCTGGCTCTTTGACTTGGTTTACTGAAGCTTTCTCCCAATCCTTATTTCCTTTTCAAGACTCCCTCTCCAGGTCTGTCTGAAATGTTCAAATGCTGTTTATGGTTAACAAGCATATGGGGGCCTTGCAGTGTTGTTTGTGTTATAACTTTCACCCTGGTAAAAAAAAGGATTTAAAATCTTGGTCGCCTTTTTAAAGATAGGCAGCAATGACAGTGAGCTACAGAAAATGAAACACCACACGGATTAAACAAAATAATAAATATAAGTGTGACTATAAAGTCACAAATAATTCCCCTAGTTCTAAAAACCACAGTCAGTCGAAAGTTTTAAGAAATTCTTGTGTTCAACTTATGTTCTTATGTTGTTTTCTTCTTATTTCCTGTTGGGGTTAAAACTTTTTATTTGTCTGCAGCCTTTGCAATGTACAGCACCTTATAACCCTGGTTTCGCAAGGCGCTTTTAAAAAAAAGTTGACATACTTGTTTACGAATAACATTTCTAGTTAAAGATTTCACAATAAAAGCAACTGAAGAGTTGTCTGAAACTATAAAAATAACAGCATGCAACCTCGAAAATATATATATAAATGTGGTAAAAATGAGAAATAATCCCCATGTGTGGAAGCAAGTCATTTTGCTTTGTAACAACATGTGTGTTTTTTTAAATTAAGCAACAAATTAATGTCACAACAACAGCAATTACTTTAACATTAGCTGTTTTTCATTCAGCACAGGACATTTCTTATATCATTTACAGTTACTCTCTCTGTTTTAGTTCAGATGTTTGTGCAACTTGTTCACCTCCCCAGAGCACCCCCCTTCCTCCCTCTCTTCCTCCTCTCCCCATGAGCACGGCTGTTGTCACCTAAGCTCTGAACGCTGAACTCACTTTCTATATTTAGTTTGTTCGTATAGTTTAGGCAAGCAGCTTGACAGGCTGTGGCCGCAGCGTCCTGCTATGTGGATCACGATTCTGCAGAGGCTACTGGCCTGCTCTGGTCTGGCCCGGTTTTTAACCACAAAGAATCTGATAAACTTTTTCTAACATGTTGCTCAGTATGGCTGCAGCAGGCAGTGAAGGGGTTAATGCTAGTCACTCAGCATGCGGGAGCCATGGCGGGCGGGCAGGCAGGCAGTGCAGAGGCTGACCTCTGACCCCTCAGGAAAGGAATGTGGAAGCTCTTTCATCCAGGACAGAAACTAAAGACACCCGGGCAGTTGGAAAGTGGCAGCTCAATTCTGCTTTCAGCGTTTTTGATTAGGGGAAGTAAGCAGAGGTTCCATGTGAACGTGCTGTGGACTGTTTGCCAAAGCGGTATCTGCCATTTTGTAATGGAGTTCCATGCTGCAGCAGCGTGTTTGTTACTTTGTGATCAGTACAGTGACGGTGAAGTGTGATTGGTGGTTGGAAATGGCTGCAGTTGTGCTGTTTGTGCTGGTGGAGCAGCCTGCTTATGAAGCACCATGTGCTCTGACCTATAACCTACTACCTGTGTTTGTAGTTAGGTGACAAACAAGACAGCCATTGCCTATTACTGACATTTAGGGCTGCAACTTGGTGATTATTTTTATTTTCGATATCAATTAATCCGTCCACTTTTTCTTGATAAATTGATGAATTAATTAGCCTATAATAGAACTAGGCAGTGTGACCAAAAATCTGTATCATGTTATTTTATAAGATTCTGGCGGTTTCACTGTATATCACAGTTTTTTTTTTCTGCATGACTATGCCTTTATATAGGTTTATGGTGACTACTGTCGGGAGTACAACATTTTAAAGGTCCAGTGTGTTACATTTAGGAGGATCTATTGTCAGTAATATAATATAATACTCATAGGTATGTTTTAATTAGTGTATAATCATGTATGTGGATGTGTTTCATGTGTTTTCGTTACCTCTATTGGCGTAGTCCACCATGTTGAACCACCAGGTTTCTACAGTAGCCCAGAATGGACAAACCAGACACTATAAAACACTTTATAGAGAGGTCTCTCATTTTTTACTTGTTTTGCGGCCAACGTAGTTTCTCCTAAATGCTTGGAAGAAGAGTGTGAATCGAGGGAGTTGCACTCTGCAACTACACTGCTAGATGCCACTAAATCCTACACAATGGTCCTTTAATGCCATCATGTATATACTGAAGTCTTTGATTACTGTAGGGTTTTCTTACTCTAACATAATAAAACTGGAAAAAAAAAAGATATCAAATCTTCTATTGCACAAGTAAGAAACAGACTGATGTGTGCAATGGTGTTTTCCCTGTTAAAGAGAGTTAGTTGTGGGTTAGGCATGAGTGGTATCAAGGTATTACGGTATTTATAAATGCAGAAGGTATGATTTTAAATAACATAACGCTCCTCTCTGGTGGGTGGCTGCGTTCGTATTTGAGTGGGTATGTTTCCTCAAAAGATGAAAGAAGAACGCTGAGGAGAAGAACGTGCCCACATTTACCTGTTACACTGACAACTAGGAAGCACTTGATAGATAGGTACAAAGATTACGTTCTTAAAGTAAAGGGGGTCTACAATAGCTGCCGAATTCCAGATTTACAATATTCTGGCTCAAGCTGTGAACATTATTACACATCATCAAAGTAAAGCAGAAACAACATTAAAAAAACGCCTATGATATCTGCGTGTAAGGAAAAAAGAGGATATCATGTAAATTAGATATTATTTCTACTTAAATTTTCCTTATTTGTTGTGTATAGACCATTGACATATATGCATTGCATTTCCACTTCCTTTTACTGTACAAAATTAAGCCATTATATTCCGGATATGGACGCTGCCATCTTTCGCCATTTGGAACCAGAGTCTGCGCAGTAGTGATCTCCCAACCGACTTTTTATAGCTTCAAATAACTTAAAACCAAACTTATCAGAAAAACTAACAAAAATGTACATGTATTTTAATGTTTTAGTTTGGCCCATGTCCCATCTGATAACATGAAGACTAATTAATGAGCTCTACTGCAGTAAGCCACCAGGGGGCGATCAAGATGTTTTGGCTTCACTTTTGGAGACCTGTCGTGTCGTCCATCTTTATGTTGACGGTATAAAGATAGATAAAAGTGTTAGTATTGTTATGGTGAGACCAGTGTTTGAATTTGGGGCTCATACTGTAAATCAAAGCTATGCTATCTATCTAGAGGGATGGTATGGGGTGGCCACCCCAGCGGCCACCTGTTTGGTGTCACATGCTCTTAAATTTAACACATTTGGATTCATTTTTAAAATAATATGTTAAAAAATTGAAATCAATTGAATTATCACCAGCATATATTTCTTCCACGCCTTAAAGTATCCATGCCACTCTCTGGACACCCCAAACCAAAAAATAGCAGGGTTTTTTGGGGGGGAACTGGCACTGTTCTGGTTGGCGCACCTAGTTTTTTGGAGCATTTTAAACAAAAATAAATTGGTTTGGGACCTGAAAAATTGGTTCCCAGCTTTAACCAAAAAAATAGCATATTTTCCGTGGGATCCAAAGTGGGCGTGTTATTATCTACAGGTCGATGTCCATTGTGCTACACCCTCTGTTGATGCAACCGATTGGGGGGTGGTTCACTAGATAGCACCTAAGTTCCGAAAATATTAAACGGAACCGTTTCAAGAACCAGAACTAAAGGGGCCTGAGCGAATTTAGAGGGTTTATAAAACTGGGGAAATTCTACCATTATTCGATTAAAAGCTTGCATATAGTTGATATTTCATAGATGATCTTTAGACTCAGTATGTTCAAATTTAACTGCTTTTAGGCAACTAACTACCTTCGAGGACACCTATCTTCAGTATTTTCTGAGAATTTGGGGTTTTGGCAACATGTACGAAGTACTTTTGTGTACTTTTAGGCCAATAAATAAAATATTTACCAGTATTGAGTCCAGGCAATGTGTAGAATGCTTTGAAACAGCATTATAGCATTTAGACCTTTAAAATGTATAGAAGATAATACTGGACAGTCAATTCAATTCGGGGTGTTTTGGGGGCCCTGGACTCATGATCTCAATATTTCTAAAATCCTCGCTGGAGCTCTGTTGCCATGTCGTGGAATACTGACTTTTGGCTGCTCAAGGGAGCATGAACACCACCTGTTGTGTTGTCTTTGTTTATTTCCCATTTACCATAACTTAAAGAGTCAGTGATTGTTAAATCTGGTGGTATAGGTAGTCAAATTCAATGATTACTAACACTGATTTAGCCTAAAATTATGTATTTTGAAACTGGACTACTGCACTGCACTTAATCTATATAGGGTTGGATATAGGGAAAAGGACAGAGTTTTAATGTTATCTATACATAACGCAAGCAATATAGTATTGCATAGGTCAGTATGAGTCATTTGGGCTTTTTCAGGCCTGGGGCCATCCATGTGTGTAGTTGCCACTCCACATGGTCTGTCATGGTGTGTCCTTTGTTTTCAAGCTCTATTTGGTTTATTTCTATAACTTGACAGTGTGGATTCTCTTCATTGTACTGTATCTGCCTGTCTGTGTGCACGCCTTTGTGAATGCGTTTGAGTATGCCGGTTTGGGAGGTGGGGTGTACATGATGTTGCATTCGGCGTGACCAGAACTCTGTGTGTTGTATGTGCTGTTGTGTGCGGAGGAGAGAGGCAGGGCGACATGGCATGGTTCAGGCCAGGAATGTGCGACGTGGGTAGGCTGTACAATAGAGCCGGGCTCCCTGAGGGTGGTCAATGGGACGGGTGTCACCCCCCTGCACCCTCCCTGCTGGGTGATGACCACCACACAACGCTACAGCTGTCAGTTCCTTTTAACCACTGCTGTAAACACACATACATTATGAGAACAAACACACAAGTATGGACACACTGAGACATACATGAGCGCACACATGTGCTAAAGTATATCTTGTGACATGAGCACACTCATATGTGTTCTAGCCAACCTGTGGATACATGTTTGTGCATTTCTGTGTAAATACAAGCATCTGCAAAAGCTGTCTTTCTTAACTCATTGACCTCTCACACAGAAAACCACAGATGCCATTACATTTGTATGTATGTGCACACTTAGTGCGCGTGCATTCTGTCACATATGCCCACATGTGTTTACAGTGCCGGTTCACGTGACTGAAGCTCCTAGCATGGCTAACATTGTTCGCTCAACCTTGGACTTAGCTGGTGTGTTAGCTAGCAGGGGTCACAGAGGTCACTGGGGGTAAATAAGGGAATGCAGAGATGACAGGGGGAGCGAGTTCAGCGATCTCTTGGAAACACAAGCTACTATAGTTTGCAATTTTATTTTAATAAACAACTGCAGGTCAGGAGCTGCTCCGGTGCAGTTTTCAGTTACGCTGTCCCTTTTTTCAAGTTTTTGGCTGCTTTTGCTGTTGTCAAGAATTTGCAGAGTTCAGGTAGTGCTGGTTGTAGGAGTGTGTGGCGTAAACACCGCCTCCCCCGCCTGCCACTTTCTCTACCCCAGGGGTTGTGTGTGTTTCTGTGTTTTCCCAAGGATTACAGGAGCCTTATCCAGTTTCATAACAAGTACATACATGTACACACATTAACACAAACAAAGCTGTCTTTGTGCACTGTGGCGTCACCTGAAGACACACATGATGAGGGATGAGACTGTGTAGTTGCATTAAGGCTTCACATATGGTTATACAAATAAAGCTGTTGCGGCATGATTGAGAATCGTCATTAAAAAAAAAAGTGTTTTTGTTAATCCTTTGCAGTTCCTGTCAATCAGACTTGTCATTCAGCTCCCCCTAGTGAGTGCACAGGAAACTTGCCTTTGAAGTGGAATTTACAAATGACATATTGTGTTTCAAGTCAAGCCTGTTGAATTATAGGCTGGGGAGGTTTCACTTTTGGCATGTATTCTGAGGGTTTGAGTTGTTGTCCACATAAGCGGTTCTCAACCAGGGGGTTCCAGGAGATCCCCAGAAAATGGGGAATATTTTAATTTTACTATTATTTCATTGACTAGATGTGAGAGAATGTATAACAATGAATATTCTGTTCATAGGTTTTACATTCTTCACAATCTTATGAGACAGGTGAGAGACAATTTGTGGGTCCTTGACACATAGGAAGTTGAGAACCACTGGTCTACATCCCTGCCTTTTGTTACAATTTGTCAAAGCTTTAATATAAGAAGACACTGGAGTCACTTCATGTTAACTTACCTTTATGCTTGCTCTCTCCTTGCAGAAGAGTAAAAATGCAAAGCAGTGTTTCCCACTCACCGCCAACAATAGCTGTTGGGACTGGGTGAGGAGAAGAGAGTGAAGGACAGGAGCGACTGAAGAAGAGCGTGAGAGAAGGAGAGTGCAGAGACAAAACGACAAGTAGGATTTTAACAGGTAAACGCTTGGTTTTTTTTTTTTTAGAAAACAAACACAATGTTGCCTCTAACTTGGCAACAGTTCGCTTCAAAGCATGCACCTTCTATCTCACCACAGATTTTGCCAGACTTTGAGGTCCCCGCTGGATCATTGGCCCATCCTGTGAGCTTTTTTTTCAACAACCACCCCCCTCCAAACTTCTCACGTTGAGCCTGCAAGGCAGGGGAGCCACAAGTGAGTTTTCATGGCAGCGGCACTCTAGGGCTGCCATGGCAGCTGCTGCCGCCGATGCCTCACACCGTATTACCGCACTGACGCTGGAGGAAGAGGGACGACGGACTGCCGCCAAGCTGTTTGGGAGCGCAGCCCCGCTACCACGGACAGAAAGAGAGAGAGAGCGAGAGAGGGGGAAAGAGAGAGAGAGGGAGAGAGAAAAAGAAGGAGAGGAGGTAGGGAGAGCAAGTGGGAACGAGTGTTTGGTTTGCGGGGCCCTGTTCGCCTCACAGGAGAAGCTCCGGCTCCACGCCTTGAGTCACACAGGAGAGAAACCCTTCCACTGCTCGCAGCCACACTGTCCCAAGGCCTTCAGCTCCAAATACAAACTCTTCAGGTACTGCGCTTAAATCACATCGCTAAATTCCCATTCTTTTAAATATAGCATTATGGGGGTGTCCGGATAGCTCACCTGGTAGAGCTGGAGCTACCAATGCTGAGTCCGTGCTGCTGCAGCCATGAGTTTGACTCCGGCCCTTTGCTGCGTGTCATTCCCTCTCTCTCTCCCCCTTTCCGGTCACTATCGATTAACGGCAAAAAAAACAAAAAAACTCCTGAAAAAAACACAAATATATGTAGGATGATGTATGGCTTCTATTGCTTTCTCAGAATCCCCATTGAGCCATTGAGATAATTTTTACTTTTATTCACTATGTGAACCTGAAAATCTTGATCTTCAGAAAGCAATCATTCAATCAAGTATCTCTAGCTAGCTGATTAGGGCTGTCGCAATAAACACAATATTTAAATACTGAAACATTGACAAGCCAACTGCAGGGCATAACGAGCCACCGCATTACGTATTTGTATTTGTTTTTTGAGACAAGAAAGTGTCCTAAAGCTACAAGGCTGAAGAGAGGCAGATGCGCTGAAACACAGTGCTTCTTGGTATCCCTCAATTCACACCCCAGGATTTCAACACCATACAGAAGGAAGCCTCACTTGCTTGACCAGAAGTCTTATAGTAGAAGACACAGACTGGTCCACTAAGTATCCCAATTCACCACAGCTGTGGTGTTTGCATCTAACGGCTCAAAAGTGTTTCAGTTAACAAGTGACCGTGTTAACTAGTGAGTTCCAGCTGAATATGTTAACTGTCGACTTTATTCGGCTGAAAGTTGCCAGTTAACAGGATCACAGACCTAGGAGGCAGGAGGAGGGTGAGTGCTTAGTGATTAGTACCAGCAGGTACTGAGACGAAACATTATCTCGTTGTACCTCTTACAAAGTAATTAGCAAAACCAAGAAAAATTTCCACATATCGCTCTATTGAGCAGCCCTAGGTGGGAAGGGAATTGAATTCCTTCACCGTGACATCCCTACACATGACTACTTGTATGTGAAATGGAACATTTCTCCTAAGTCCTCTTCAAAGAGTTCTAACATCTGCTGGATGTGTAAATAAGCAACTGTTTGCTAATAATGTCGCTATCAGCTTTATAAGGTGATAAAATGTCAATGTTGTGTTTGCCCTAAGTGGCCAAAAAATAATCAATTCAGATTCTGAATTGTGTCAAACTCATCAGTATACTAGGATGTTTGAAATCCAGTAGATCAGAGGATGTGGTTCCAAAACCCAGTTTGGCCCCTACTACAAACCACTGTGACTCATTTATGTATATATAGACACACGGGTTTGACTGAAAGGAATTCATGTCTCACACAGCATGCATACTACTGGCCGACTGCATAACAAACTTGACATGAAACCTCTACCATTTACAATCTTTTTGTCTGCGTTCCTTTGCAGGCATATGGCCACACACTCTCCACAGAAGACCCATCAGTGCTCGTTCTGTGAGAAAATGTTCCACCGCAAAGACCACCTGAAGAACCACCTGCAGACACATGACCCCAACAAGGAGGCCTTCAAGTGTGAGGAGTGTGGGAAGCACTACAACACCAAGCTGGGATATAAGCGCCATGTGGCCATGCACTCTGCCACAGCAGGGGATCTCACCTGTAAAGTATGCATGCAGACGTACGAGAGCACGCCTGTGCTGTTAGAGCACCTCAAGAGCCACTCCGGAAAGTCTTCAGGAGGCACCAAGGAGAAGAAACACCCGTGCGACCACTGTGACCGCCGTTTCTACACACGGAAGGATGTGAGACGGCACATGGTGGTCCACACAGGCCGAAAGGACTTCCTGTGCCAGTACTGTGCCCAGCGCTTCGGCAGGAAGGATCATCTGACACGCCATGTGAAGAAGAGCCACTCGCAGGAGCTGCTGAAGATCAAGACGGAGCCTCCTGATATGTTAGGTCTTTTAGCTTCCGGGTCACCACCTTGCTCTGTGAAGGAGGAGCTCAGCCCCATGATGTGCAGCATGGGTCCCAACAAAGACCCCATGATGGGCAAACCGTTCCCTAGTGGGGCCCCTTTTCCGATGGGCATGTACAACCCCCACCATCTCCAGGCCATGTCTAATTCTGGGGTGGGTCACCCACACCCATCCCTGATGCCCACTTCCTTGTCTGCAGCTATGGGCATGGGCTGTCACATGGAATCCCCTGGACCTCTTCACCCACACTCCCATCACCACCACCATCATCACCACCATCACCACCACCACCATTCCCCTCCGCTGCCCTCACACCACCAACCTCCGGCTCCCCAGCAGCAGCACCAGCCCCAGCAAGTCCCCAAATACCAGCTGGGATCTACCTCATACCTGCTGGACAAGCCCTTGAAAGTGGAGATGGAGAGTTTCCTCATGGATCTGCAGAGTAGTTCGCCAGGCCCAGTTCCCTCTGCAGAGCCCCACACTGCTGCCTCGCCGCATAAGGACGGACTGGAGCCCACCTCGGGCCTGACGGATGAGCTTTGCGGGGATCCCCTCCTGTCCAAGAGCCCTGCGGTGATCGCTGAGTCTCTGTGTGCTGCTAACATGGACTTCTCCCACCTGCTGGGGTTCCTGCCCCTCAACCTGCCTCCCTACAGTGCACCCATGAGCACAGGAGGACTGGTGATGGGCTACACGTCATCTGCAACTTCCTCCTCGTCTTCCATCTCCTCTGCCTCATCTCTGCATGCTGCCGAGCCCCATGCTGCAGCAGTCGCCGCGGCAGCAGCTGCCGTCGCCACAGCACCTCTTACCTCTTTGCAACCGCAACCTCAGGAGCAGCAGAGCTCCAGCGGGGGTCTGGGCCTTGGATCCCTGCATCCCCTTCCATCAGTGTTCAGCTCCAGCCTTAGTACCACCACACTGCCTCGCTTTCACCAGGCCTTCCAGTGAGAGAGTCAGGCCTTGCCCAGCTCAGCATGGATATTTCAGGCTGTGGTTCTTGACTGGGCACGATCAAAAAGTTGGAGAATTCTAACAAATAAATACACAAATGAACACTTAGAAGCCTTAAATAAAAGCGCACAAAAGCTTTTGATTGAGCCTTAAAAGGAAGTTAAACCCCTTTGAGAAAAAAGGAAAAAAGAGAAGAAGTTGAAGCAGCTTTTATTTGGGCTTTTTTTTCTCCTATCCTATAGTTATAACAATGTATTAACCCATCTTTTTTATTTTCAGTTACTTCCCCTTTTATCCCCCTTCCATCCCCTATTTAGTAGTATAGAGGGCAGGATCAGTAGGCCAAAAGGTGTGGTACTGCATACTTTCTAAAGTAATAATATTAAAAAAAAAAAAAATCAAAGATAATTTTTAGTGAAGATTATCTGTCTTGTTGTGACCCAGAAAAAAAAAGTTTGAAGTGGATATTTTGTTTTACTTTATTTTTCTTTTCCAAATGTAAGAACATGGTAGAATGTGTCTCATCTTGAGTTTCAAACCACCTAAACTGTCATGATCAGTACGAAAAGGAGAGAGATCAGTGAAGGAATGAAGAAATGTAGATTTCGAGTTGAAATCGATTGAATCTGAACTCTAAAAAAAAGATAGCTAGGCTAGAGCCACAAAAGCAACCCCTGCCTCTTAAAAAAGTGCTCTTCAAACAAGAAAAATAAATAGATGGATGTCCCTGTTATTTTAAGTGCAACTGATGTGCTCATAGAGTAAGTCAGTTTGAATGAAAACACTCACTTATCATATGATTGATAAGAGACCTGTTAGCTGCCAAACACAAAGACCAGACACACACATGGCCACGCATTTTTTAAAGAAAAGATAGAAATGTGAAAGTGTGTGAGTTGGTTGGAAATGATATAATATCATGCTTGCTTTTTTTTTTTTTTTTTACTGTTCCTCAAGAGAAGCACTTTTTTTAGCAGAAGGCACTTCACCTTTAGGAATCTCCTTGGGAAACCTTTTGTCTTTGCCTGAGACTCTCCTCATTCTCTTTCCTTTACGTATCTCCCTTTTAACAGTTACCTTTCAAATTTCCCACGATAATGACAATTGCAGCTGTTTTCTTGGCTGCCCAACATACCTGAAATATATATTTTTGGAATAAAATACCAACACATCTTTAGGCAGTCTTTTAAAAAGATGCGTCATCATGGTAATGATGAACCCTGACATATGTGAATGGCAAAAAAAACAAAAGAATTACAGTGACAGATGAGGAAAAATGTGTTAAAGAATGTTATTGCAGTGTACGAAATATCTCAAAAATGAATATTATTATTGCTTTTATCTCAGTAAGGTGTATTTTAGGTAGATGTATTAAAACTAAGTGATGATGTTTTTGATGTCTGGCAGGTTTACATTTGTGTGTATCTTGCATTTTTGATCAAACAAATGGATGAAGTATTAGCTTTTTCCCTTAAGCTTTCTCTGTTATATCCAATCTTTACCTTTACATGTATGTGAGTTAGTATAGCAGGATCAGAACTGTGGGTGGGAAGTACCTGTAGAAGGCTGTTAGCGGCTTAATAATCTGTTAGGATTTGAGCTAGATAGATTGTGTCATAAGGATGCTGACATGGATGGCATGGCCTATGAATCTATGACTATAGGTCTTTATCCAGTGGAATATGTAACCCCTGCGCTGTGATGAAATCCACGCCGATTTCACTCCGAGCTCAGTGGTTTTTGGATGTCTTGGAGTTTAGATCCTTTCTAACCTTTCTATGGCTGTCACCTTTCTAAAATATCAACTTATAACAAATTAGAAATGACATGCAATTTGTTTAAATAAATCCCCAAACAATTATGGGAACGGGAAAAAGTATGAAAAAAACGTAAAGACTATATTAAAGTATAAATGTGTGTTCCCACCAATGGCGAATCACAGGATCATTTGTGTTTACTCTGTCCATACAATGCTGCAAATACCCCACGATATGGGAAAGTTTTCTGCTTCAAATTCAATATTTTGAACTTTTCGCTTGTTTGCGCCAGGCGACGCGAATGACGTGGTAATCATTGATTTGCCTTTGGTGGGAATGCACCAAAAGACATTCATTCTTACCACACTAATGGGCCACATATCCTTGCATATGAATCCTTCTATCTTAATGCTGAGCTTTTAGTGAGGCTAAAGCTGAGTGTGTCGAACAGTAGCAGTCAGAGGTTGAACAGTCGACGTTGCTCTGTTTGTCTGTGGTGCCTCCGCAGCACTGCCTCTCCTGAGTGCTAAGCTAACATTAGCAAGTAAGTTGGCAGATTTGTTGTCATCGTAAACAGCTGCTTTGTACAAAGCCGTCAGAAGCACTGCTACTCAGATGATTTGGTGTCACCAGTGTTCTATCAGGACGGCTTTGCTCCCTCCATTTTGTAGTAAACAGCATAACATTACTAGCTTAGTTTACTGACAGGACAATAGGGCATGCCATAGGTCAAGCTGATAGTAGAGCACCCTCTGCTGGATCACAAGGCAAACTACAGAACTTAAAAAGGTCTGTTGCGCTTTAAAATGTTTAATGTGAACACTTCGAATTTCATATAAAAAGTGACAGCCCTAAACCTTCCACCACCAGCCTCTAAAAACCTGAGCCCAAAGTTAACCTAAACCTCAAAGACAAATAGGTGCTCTTTATCCGATGTTGTCTGTGGCATGACCAACACAGCTGGCATATCCATAACGTCACACACAGCACAGAGGGCTGAGCTCCTGCATCATCTGTCTTAGTTCATTCAGTGTCGTTCCAGTCATAGAAGAAGGCCTTTGCCTATAGTGGTCGCTGTGTCACAGGTGAGCCACAGCCATCGTTAAATGTTGAGTAAAAACAAACAAAAAAATGAACAAAAAAACAGGAAAAACATAGCACATAAAAAAATAAAATACATATTGCTGCTTTTAGCTACGGTTGCTGATGGATGACAACTGTAGACCACTAGAACATTTCAATTTTTTTTTTTGCAAGATGGACAGCTAGCTGAAAACATGCACAAACCGAACCGACATAGTGTTTATCATCCCCCGGGCCCCACCCCCTCCGTACTCCTCCTCCTCTCAGCTGCTTAGTAGAGTCAAAGGAAAAGGGTCTGAAAATACGGCGATATCTGGAAGAACGCAGTCACCGAATTCCCGGGCTTTGACATTCAAAGTACAGGGGGACACATAACTGACTGCACGACTTGGGGTATTGCTCATAGTCATATATTTGTTTTGTTTGTTGTCTTATGATATATTATTTTCTGTTTGTGTAAAACAGGACCTCGAAAAACAACACAACACATCACCTCATTTTTATTTGTTTTTATTTTTCTTACCAAAACCTGGGGAGAAGAAACTACATTTTTGCACAATTGCTTGTTACAAAATGGTAAAAGTGTTCTGCGATTTTTTTGATACTGTAGGATATGAAACCCCCGACAATGAGCTGTGTGTGTTAGACAGGTGAATATTCCCCTTGGTGGTAAGGGCTGCTGAAAATTCTGAATCAGCGAGCACTGATCCAGAAGAAGCGTCCTCGCAGTCTGACTGTTTCACCCCACTGCCAAAATCCTAGATTTTATAATCCGAGTTCTGAACTAATTTGAAACGTATTTTTAGTTACTTATTAGTCTCCCCCCTGGAAAGTTGTCATTTTGATGATGACTCTTGTAAAATGATCAAACTTTCATTGATCCTAAATGAATTAGCTGTTAGCACCTTTCTAAGAATTTACACGATATATTAAAAAAAGATTCAAATTTGATCTTTATTATGAGCTTAAGAAAAGGTTGTTTTTAAGAAAAACCCTCTTCGTTTAAGCCAAATTTGTAGCAATCAAATTGAGCATTTATATATTTGTAACAAATATTCATTTAGTCCTAAAATAAAGAAAAGTTAAGGAAAAGCTTTTGGCATGTATTAAGTTTGTCCTCCCTGGGTTTCTGTGAGCTAATCTGAATTCTAGCACTTTCAACCTTTAAAAAAAAAAAGAGTATTTTTTTCTTTTAAAATTTCAGCTTATATGTTCATATGTTTTTAATTTTGTATTGATCCTGTATATGTATGTGCCATTAGTTTGATGTGTAGACTTTATCAACCATTTGTGTATTTCTCTTTCTCCAAAAGAATAACAGTATTTTTGATAGACTTTTCACTAATATTCTTCTACATAAGAGCCCCCTTCTCCTTTGAAACCTTGTTGTTTTTGGGCAAGCTTCGCCTTCTCTCTCAAATTTACCCAATCAAACTCTATAGCCAAGCGTATTAAGAGAACACTAACAACATATCTGTTATCCTGAGGCGGTGAGACCGTTGTCAAAGCCACAGCCTGACCACAACCTGCCATTGAAAGGCTGTTGTAACAGACTCATTTCACAGGCCATTTTTAGACCATGTAACTGAACAAGAATGAAGTCAGGAGTGACTCCAAAATATAGAACTTAGAGCTCACAGCCCTGGTCCTGGTTGTCCCAGCCACAAGAAACAGCGACATGCTGATAATGATTAGATGTAAGAATTACAGTTTCAGTTATACATTGCAAAGTACTCAAATGTGGCTTTAAAGCTGCAGGCCATCTTTTATTTTTATAAAAATAACTAACTAACTAAAAATAAATTTCAGTATATCCTGACAGTAGAACATGAGACAGATAATCTGTGAAAAAATCTGGTTCGTCTGGCTCCTCCTAGAGCTCCTAGTGGCATTTACAAGAATCCACCAGGCCTGTCCAATCAGCGCTAAGAACAATGATTGATGGTTGGGTCTCATTAGAATAATAAACCAGAGGAACCAGATTTTTTTCACAGATTATCTGTTTTATGTAATACTATCAGGATATATATATAATGATAAAAGGTTATTGTTTATAAAAGATTACCTACTGCAGCTTTATATGAATGTTACTAAACATTAAAATAGGAGAAAAAGAGCATAATGATTTTTAGATATTTAAGACAGAAGTGAAAAGGTCTTAGTTGTTGAACATGGAAATGTGGTCAGGTTGTACTTGTTGTGTTGAGCTGTGAAATACCTACAACAACAACCTGTTATACCACCTAAACTCATATTGGTGACATTTTTCAAAGTGTTTCCACCCATTACTAATCATTCTGGGAAAATGGGCACTGTTTCTAGAAAAAAGCAGAAGAAAAGAAAATCTTTCTATCTCATAATTCCAATTTACTGTTATAATTTTGAGTTACTAAGTCAAAATAGTGACCTCTTAACTATTACTACTGCATACTACAAAGTTATTACTTGACTCAGTAAGTCAAAATGTGACTCAATATCTCTTAACTCTGACGTACTATGTTATAATTCTGACTTAGTATCTCATACTTTTACTTTATACAATAGCTCATCATTTCAACTTACCACTAGTAGGATTTTTACATGTTTTAATTATTTTTTTCTTTTTCTGGTAGAAATGGGCTTCTGTGATTTGAGCTGACAGAAAAAGCTGATTCCAAATCAGCACAACTCTTAAACCCTTAAAGATATAAAATGGATTCTCTCCTGACCTCTGACAGTGATGTTGTTCTGTTTCTTGGCTTGGCTGTAGCTTCATTACCTCGACCTGCACCTACTAGGGATGCACTTATCCTCACTCTATCCTCTTTACTACTAGGTGCAGAACACAAGCATTTTAAGGGAATTTTTTAATCAGTTTTGCCTGAGAAAAACTGATTTGATTTTAATAACGCTTTCTCTTTCTCTCCCTCTCTCTCTTTTTGCTTTTAGTAAGAAACTGGGTACTGTCTGATGCAGGCAACATCCACATGTAGTTTTATATATTTCTAGCTTAAAGTAAGTCTTGCATTCCAACCTCTTTGTGTATCTCGTTTTAGTGACATAGCCCATTTTATTTTTATCACATGCTATTACAGCCACCTCTGGAATAAAAAAGGTGAAAAAAGGTGAAAGAAAATAGAATATTTGCATTCACTTCACTTATTTTATATAGCATGGAGTTTATCAACTACAGGGAGAATTATATAAATGATGTGCTTCGGAGAAAGGAAGAAAATGAGAATTCTTGCTTTTTTTGTTACATATCTCACATGCAATCAGTTGCTGCAATGTAAAAGTGACAGATTTGTATATTGGTTGATCCAAAGAGATGATGAACACAACAACAGAACTATTGACTTATTGTACAGTACAGTGTATCTTTGAGTTGTTATGTGTTATGTTGAAATTATTAAAAGACAAACCAGCGGTTTCATACCTGAATTGCATCTTTTTTTTATTTGTTATATTATTAAGAGTTTCTTCTCTTTCCTTTCTTTTATAAAATGTAAAAAATCACTACAAAGGAATAGTTATTATATATATTGTATACAATTAGTGGACAACCTGCTCTACCTCTGAGCCCCAGCTGCCCCATATATTTAAACTTTTAGATAGACTAAGCCCTTATACATGGCCATAACTACCATGGATGAGGAGGTGGTCATGTCTTTCTGTTTTTTCTGAGAATTTGAAAAAACTGTGGGTGGAATTTTCTATGGTTAATTAATTAATATTGAACAATTCTAATGCATACTGTAAAACAATGGTAATAGTCTGGCAGCTGGGTTGCCAAAGAAATACTGTAAAATAACATAAAAATAACTGACTTGTAAAAATACTGATTTTTTTTTACAGTGTGGACATTTATTGTTGCATCAACATTTAGACATTTGACCTCCATATACCTTATAGACCTTAGCTGGGACAAAAAATGACAGCCCTTTATTTAGCCCCATTTATCTAGATCTGCAGAGGTATAAGACTGCAGCAGTTATAATGTTAGCCATGTTGACCATCTTGATATGGTATGTTAGCATGCTAACATTTACTATTAGCACTAAAAAGTAGAGTTGAGGCTGGTGGGAATGTCATAGTTTTTCAGGCATTTAGTCATAAACTAAAGTATTGGACAAATTACTTATTACTGAAAAAACTGATATCACATAGCACAAATAGATTGACTGTTTGATTGACTTTTCATTTTCTCACTTCCTCAAGTCCATCCATCCATCCATCATCCTGACCGACTGCTTCAAACAGAGCGGAGCGAGAATGGTTTGACCAGACGCATTATTCTCATAGGCAGTCACCACATGACAAGACACATGATTGCTAACATACTCAGAATGAGGCTCAATAGTAAGTAAGGAGTTTAGTTATCAAAAGGATATTATAGCATTTATGTGTCGTTTTTTTAAAGAGCTCAGAGATTTAGGGAAATTCTATTATTTAGAGTCAGAAATCAATAAAAGCCTTAGAACAGACCTTTCTTGTATCTGGTGTAGTCTGAAGTTATGTCAAACAGTAATATTAGGCTAGCTTGGCTCAGTTGTTGAGTATCTATGGGATCCAATAACATAATAATGATCCTATAGACATTGAGGAACTGAGCAAAATCGAGCAAGGAGGTGAAGGGAGGGTGCAACTTTTACCAAGCTTTGTCTGAGGAGAGGCCCACAAACTCAGACTTTGAACATTACTATATCTTAGCTACACAGGGTAGATTATTATGTGTAAATGACCAAATCTCCATGATTCTCACAATATTTAGTTTCATTTTGAATAAAGAAATAAAGCAAGTAATAAAACTGAACCATCCAGGGTCAGGTTGCAGTGGCAGCAGGCCAGTCCAGACGACCCTCTTCCCAGCAATGTTCCTAAGTCAGATGAAATATAGGCCAGAAAGTGCAAAAGTTCCCCTAATTGACTGAATTCCTGTGTCAAGTGTCATACTGCCTGGCAAACTCAGATTATGAAAGATAATTCATAATTAACAATCCTACATATTTAAATAGCATTTCTACCTCACAGAAAATAAAGCAACATAAACAGAGATTTTTAAAAAGGTTTACAT